GAGTTTAAGGTACAAATTAAAGTTCAACAGAGACACGTCTTCTTTGTAATCTGGGCATATAAATGTTTATCATGTTAATCTGCTTAATTCTAAGAAGTAAAGCAGCAGACGCAGCCTCCTCTCAGTCTGAGCGCGCTCCAGCGGTGATGTGCACTCTCTCTCTCTTTTGGACCGGGCAAAATACACGAACCCCCTCTCATTTTTAAAGATGACACCTTTAATTCACATCTGTTCCACTCGGTTGTCCACCAGACGACCTCGAGCTCTGCTAGTTCCAGAAAAAATAGGTCGTCTCAGACAAACGGACACTGCTTATGAACCTGAAGAGTGAGAGATAAATGGGTGTATGGTCGCTCAGTGCAATACCTTTGGGATTGGAGATTATGTTAATGTTTGCTGTGAGGCGATGGTGAACAGGTTGAACAGGTAGGACAGCTGTTGAAGAGGTCACATTGACTCGATGACTCTGGAGAGAACCGTAGCTCTGCCAGCCTGGTCAGGATTTACTGTGTTTCCAAACTGTTGCCATTCAAAGAGCTGTCTAGGGTATATTAATATATATATATTAACAATATTGTTTACAAGCTGTTTACCTGGACAGCAAAGCAGCTGCATCTCAGCAAGAAGGTTGCCGGTTCAAATCCTGCCCCGGGGCCTTTCTGGGTGGAGTTGCATGTTCTCTCCGTGCTGCGTGGGTTTTCTCCAGGTACTCCAGTTTCCTCCCACAGAACAAAAACATGCATGTTAGGCTGATTCTCACTTTCATCTAAGGGACAATTTGGAGTTACCAGAGTGGATGGTTGTTTGTCTCTGTGATGGACTGAAGACCTGTCCAGGGTGTCCCCCACCTCTCACACAGTGACAGCTGGATATGGACACCAGTGACCCCCCCGAGACCCAAAACGAAAGAAGGGGGTAATGATAATGGATGGATGGACTTAAATGGTTCAGTTAGGAAATAATTGATATTATTTTTGCAATAATAATGTGACAAAGTTTTTATTTATTTATTAATTTTTCTTACAGTTAGCCTTTATCCTAAATGTCAATAATTTCTACATTTATAACTCATGCACAGAGATTCATGAATAAGTCACAACCAAAAGCTCTCAATCAAAGGAGACCAACAGGAACATTGTCTAAAACCTTTTAAAGTATAAAATAAAATAAAAAAATGCCAGAGACTGGTCATAATTAGCAGAAAGATGGATAATCAAAGTCTGGCCAAGCAGAAAAACAATGGCCTTCAGGTGAAATTCAATGATGGGGCCTTGTTTTCAATGTTGACACATCAAGGGTTTTGGAACGGCAGATTGTTTCTTCTTTTATGAGAAAGAATAAGGACGAACACTGAAGACTCCTCACAGTATAAGGAATGTTCTAGAGCTCCGTCTGATCAACTTTATTCATTCTTTTTTTAAATCTTACCGTTGTATTCAGTCAGTTGGCATGAGTTTTGGTTTGCTCTGTTTCAGCTAATCACTTGCAGAGCAGTTTTTAGGAAGTTTCCAAAATATATTCAGGGAGACCCATGAGATCATTGTACAACAACGCCAAGTGAACGGCTTTAATATTTCGTCTCTATAATATAATAATCTATAATATTTCAGCTCCACAGAACACGAGTGGTTTTCTCTAATCATCAGAGCACGCCGAAGCTAACCTTGCTGGTAAGAAGTTAGCGCTAACGGCAAAGTTAAATGGTTTCTGTTGGCTGCTTCACATCTAAAGATCACATTTCTCCTGTTGAAATATTTTAACTCACAGCAGAAGGAACTTTTTAAAACAGTCGAGAGGGAAATGAACTGTAACGTGCGGGGGTGGACAATTTGATCAGATCCCTGGATTACACCACATGCCTTTGTTCTGAATCATAGCTGTGGTTTGCAATCCAATACCATACAACGTGAACTTATGAGAATAAAGTTATTACAGAGTAAACTCTTATTGCTCGGGGCTCCTTTGATTATTCTGTTTGATTTTATTTGCTCATTTTTAAAAAAATCTAGCGTTAACTAGTACTGGTCGAATTAACCTAACTTTGTTTTGAATGACGTACAGTGGTGCTTGAATGTTTGTGAAGTCTTTATAATTTTCTATATTTCTGCATAAATCTGACATAAAACATCAAACGATTTTCACACAAGTCCTAAAAGTAGATAAAGAGAACCCAGTTAAACAAATGAGACAAAATATTATACTTGGTCATTTATTTATTGAGGAAAATGATCCAATGTTACATATTTGTGATGGTAAAAGTATGTGAACCTTTGCTTTGCTTTCATTCCCTGGTGTGCCCCCACCCCACCCCACTCCACCCCCCATGCAGCAATAACTGCAACTAAACATTCCCAGTAACTGTTGATCAGTCCTGCACACATTGGAGGAACTTGAACCCATTCCTCTGCACAGAACAGCTTCAACTCTGGATGTTGGTGGTTTCCTCACATTAACTGCTGCTTCAGGTCCTTTCACAACATCTGGATTGGATTAAGGTCAGGACTTTGACTTGGCCATTCCAAAACATGAACTTTATTCTTCTTGAACATTCTTTGGTAGAATGACTCGTGTGCTGAGGATCATTGTTGCTGCATGACCCACCTTCTCCTGAGATTCAGTTCATGGACAGATGTTCTGACATTTTCCTTCAGAATTCTCTGATTTCATTCAGAATTCATTGTTCCATCAATGATGGCAAGCCGTTCTGGCCCAGATGCAGCAAAACAGGCCCAAACCATGACACTACCACCACCATGCTTCACAGATGGGATAAAGTTCTTATTCAGGAATGCAGAGTTTTCTTTTCTCCAAACATTAAACTTTTAATTTAAACAAAAAAGTTCTATTTTGGTCTCATCGTCCACAAAACATTCTTCCAACAGTCTTCTGGCTTGTCCACGTGATCTTTATCAAACTGCAGACGAGAAGCAATGTTCTTTATGGAGAGCAGAGGTTTCTCCTTCAACCCTGCCATGCACACCATTGTTGTTCAGAGTTCTCCTGATGGTGGATTCATGAACATTAACATCAGTCAATGTGAGAGAGACCTTCAGTTGTTAGAAGTTACCCTGGGGTAGAGTTGCATTCGGGTACAAAATATCCGACCCGACCCAGCCTGTAGCCATCATTTCCGAACCCCACCCGACCTGATGAATCAACAGAAATTACAGGTCCAAACTCGAAAAAAATCCATCCGTCCGTCCATCCATCCATCCATCCTTTTTACCCGCTTCTTCCATTTTGGGTCTCAGGGGTCGCCAGTGCCCATGTCCATCAATCACTGTGCAAAGGGCGAGGTACACCCTGGACAGGTCACCAGTCCATCACAGGGACACACAGAGACAAACAACCATTCACTCTCTCATTTACACCTAGGTACAATTCAGAGTTACCAGTCAGTCTAGCATGCATGTTTTTGGTCTTTGGGAGGAAACCGGAGTACCTGGTGAAAACTCACACATGCACAGAGAGAACATGCAAACTTCAACCAGAAAGGCCCCCGGACCAGGATTTGAACCGGCAACCTTCTCGCTGAGAGGCAGCAGCTCTACCAGTTGTGCCACTGTGCTGCCCTTGAAAAAAAAGAAGACATTTTTAATTCAGCTTTGACTGCTTATATAATTATTAACGGTCGGCGGATGCATGCGGCTGAGTAAAGGGGGTAGAAGATCGGAGCTGAGGGGGTGTTGGTCCTTTCATGGCCGTCAAAGCGCATTAGCTGCTTCTGCCTGCATTCTGCATTATTCAGACACAGACCCTGCTCTGACATGTCGGATATTTTGTGATCTCACCTGTTGGTCGTCAGCCGTGCGCGTCCACTTAGTGCAGCGGCTGAATGAATGTCCATTTGGACTGGTGGATCGTTGGCAGTATAGTCCCATCTGAAGCTTAACTGAACTTTTTATCTTTATTAGGCCGATCAGCGCACGGTGGAATGGCCATGTGCAGCTGGTGAATGTATGGCAAGCCATGTTGCCATATAATTGGATCGTTAGCCGCGTGTGTCCGCTGACACAATCAAAAGCCCGACACCGACCTGGCCCGCACATTAAGCACATTATTATAGATTGACCCGACCCTAATCCAGGTCGGGCGGGGACGGGCTCCGGGTTCGGGTTCGAAATGACAGCTCTACCCTGGGGTCCTGTGTGACCTCGCTGACTATTCCACTCCTTGTTCTTGGAGTGATCTTTGTTGGTCCACCACTCCTGAGGAGACTAATAATGGTCTTGATGTTCCTCCATTTGTCCACAATCTGTCAGACTGTAGATTGGTGGAGTCCAAACTCTTTACAGATGTTTTGTAACATTTTCCAGCCAGATGAGCATCAACAACTCTTTTTCTGAGCTCCTCAGAAATCTCTTTTGTTCCTGTCATGATCCACTTCCACAAACATGTTGTGAAGATCAGACTTTGATAGATCCTGTTCTTTAAATCAAACAGGGTGAAACTCACACCTGATCATCATCACATTGATAGAAAACACCTGACTCTAATTTCACCTTCAGATTAACTGATAATCCCAGAGGTTCACATACTTTTACCATCACAACTATGTAACATTGGATCGTTTTCCTCAAATAAATGACCAAGTATACTTATTAAGTATAATTAGATTAGACCAAGTATAATATTTTGTCTCATTTGTTTAACTGGGTTCTCTTTATCTACTTTTAGGACTTGTGTGAAAATCTGATGATGTTTTAGGTCAGATTGATGCAGAAATATTGACAATTATAAGGAGTTCACAAACTTTCCAGCATCACTGTACTTCAACGTACTCGTACTCAACGTACTTCTCGTGTGTGTTATTAACTCTGAACAGTTGATGGATTGTTTCTTCTTGAAGGCTCATGGAATGCGAGCCTACTCCTATTAAGTCTCAAGGACAAAGAAAAAATGTCGCAGCTGTGGCTGCAGGCTACAGCAGCGCTGCATCGACACCAGACGTGGGTACTGCCTTGATTTGACTTCTTTCTGTGTCATTTCTTTCTGTCCAGATTGGACTGATGTCGGTGACCATTTTCCCGGTGCGGCTGCTGCTCGTCTCTTTCCTGATGTTGCTGGCGTGGCCCTTCGCCTTCACTGCCACCCTGGGACGCTCGGATTTTATCGTTGAACCACAGTCATGGTGGAGGAGGTGTGTTGGTGCATGTTAACAAGAATGTGCCACTGAAACGTCATTGCGTGAAAAGCTTAGACATGTTGTCGACTGAAAATTACCGGAGTGTCCACATCGATGAGCATTAACTTTAACTCACGGATTAAATAGGTGTGGATCTTTTTCTAAATGATATGGTTGGTTACATTTATGTAAACATTTTTGTATCTCACTGTGTGAATTCCAAATGAGTGGATGAAACGTTTTAAGAATCTTGTCCTTTCTCAGAATCGTCCATCTTTGTATTTGGGTCATCATGCGAGCCATGTGGTTTTGTGGCGGTTTCCATCGGATCAAGGTGAAAGGGAACCCAGCCCCACCCTCTGAAGCTCCTATTCTTGCCGCGGCGCCACATTCTTCCTACTTTGATGCGATCCCAGTCACCCAGATGATGTGCTCTATAGTTGGCAAACAGGAGAGCAGGAGCGTACCAGTGTGGGGCAGTAAGTCAAATTCATTTGAACTTTACCTTCAGGAAACATAAAGGAAACACGAGAGAGAATAGTGCAGACGAAAAGTATAATGTAGAGCGCGTCTGCGAAGCTAATATGCTGGTGTCTCATCCAGGGCATGGTATAGCAAAGCAAATAGAACTGGGCTTCTGTAGATAAAGACGTTTCGTTTCTCATCTGGAGAACTTTCTCAATTCAAAGTGGTTGTGGAGTTTCAAGCGTGTAAGTCCACACTCTCCATCTTTAAACAAAGAAACCTCCCCGGATGGAAAGCGAAACGTCAGCTACAGGAGAGAAGTCCAGCTGATATATATATTTTTTAAGTATCTGTAAAGTAAGTGTTTCTGCATTAATGTTTAATGTGACAGCCCAAGTGTTTGTTTTTTACGTTATAGTGTGGTCATTAAAAAAACAGTGGATGGTCTTTGCTGGGTTTTGCCGTGGGCTCATTATGGGTGGCTGCGGTGGCTCAGTGGTCAGTGTCGTGGTCTTGTAACTCTGAGGTTGCGGGTTCGAGCCTGGGTTGCGTCAGGAAGCTGCTCCTGAGTGTGTCAAAGACAGAGCGTAAGCTCAGAGGAGACCGTGCTTTAAACCTAAACCGTGGAACCACCTTCCCTTGAACATCAGACAGGACTCTTGTCTGTTTTTAAATCCCTTCTTAAAACCATCTCTTCTCCGTGGCCTTTGACACCATGTTGACTTTTAATCATTTTAACTGCTTTTTATCATCTGATTGTTTTATGCTGTGCACTGTATGTGTACAGCACTTTGGTCCTGTGGGTGTTTAAAGTTCTCTATAAATAAAGCTGGTTTGGGATCTGGTGTTATACAGGTGCCAAATCTTTCATGTGAGTTCTCTAGCTGCCGCAACAACAGCCGAGAGAAACTTCTTGTGCTCTCATTTCCTAACGAGAAGCAAGTCATAGGAAAGTAACCAAATAGATTTAGTCTTTCTGTCAATGAGCAAACTACTCAAATCTTTTTAGTTCTTTCGGCTGTTTCCTTCTTCAGGGGTCACCACGGCGATCTAACTCGCACAAAGACTCGGCAATTGTTTTGAAGCCGGATGTCCTTCCTGACGCAACCACAGACCACCGAGCTACCACAGCCTCTGTGTGGAGCAGAGAGCTGCTATCTAGAGCGCCGGGGGAGCAAATGGTGAGGGTTAAAAGCCTTGCTCAAGGGCCCAGAGTGGGGCAAATAAGGGTGGAGGCAGGTGTGGGTGTTTCACATTTCCCATTTTGAATGTTGTCGGTGCGGGGAGTTGAACCGGCGACCCTCCACTCACAGGCCAATCATCTCTAACTTCTGCGCCACCACTCCCCTGAATTATAAATAAAACATTTTAAATTCTAAATAAAATGTGTCCATAAAAACAACTTTCAAAAAACACGGAGACAGGAGCAACAGACATTTAGCATTTGACTCAAACCAATAAAACCAGTTTCACTGAGATGGGACAGCACAACATTAAAACAATTCAAGGAAACACAAAGGAATAGAGAAGCAGTAAGTTTAGTTGTGAGTGGTTCTGATTTTAAGAGACCTCGTGGAGCTAGACTCAGGCCGGTCACCAACTGAACACAGGCTGAATTATTATAAAACTGAAAGGAAGCGCATTATGTTCATAAATACTGAAACACTAAATTACATTTCCAAAGTTGAGTTGTTTCAAGTCGTGGGACACGTCTTTGTTGCTGTAATTATTCACAGCTAAACACTAGAAGCATTGTTTACATGGTCTTTTGTTCAGTTTGTGTTCTGTTTTGTTAAATTTAACATCCTGGTGTGTTTGTATCAGAAATCTGCAATTTAGAATATTTGACTGGTTGATGCAGAACAATGCGGGTCAATTATCGTAGTTGTGATCTGAGCTGGAAACTTGACACAGTGTCAGATGTGCACGTTGAACCAGTTTGTCATGCCTTGGGTTCCTCCATGTGTAACAATCCTGAAATATTGTGGTGTCTTCTCATTTTCTCTCGTGCGTTTGCTTTTTAAAACTCTCTCCTTGTTATCGTCTCCCCCCCAGCTTTGATCAGCTACATCAGGCCTGTGTTCGTGGTTCGCTCCGACCAGGACTCGAGAAGAAAAACAGTCGAGGAGATAAAACGAAGGGCCAAGTCTGAAGGAGAGTGGCCCCAGGTACAGTTTGTATTGACACTGGCAGATCAGATCTGAACTAATACGAGTTCACTTGAAGTGAATTTGGGCCCCGTCTACACAAACAACACTCCAGCAACATAGCAGTGAAGATGATCATACACTTAAATCAACAAATTGATGAAGGCAACCACTGAATATGGGCTGGTGGAGACAAATTTGATTAAAACAATCTGTTTGGACACTGGCTAGAAAAGCAGCCGCCTATTATTATAACAGGGTTTTGCTCTTTCTTCAACTTTGATTTGGCCCGAACCGCAATGCGTACCCCCACAAATGTTACATCAAAACGACTGGCTCTGCACCGTGATGTGTGATATTACTTTTATTGGCATTTTGAGTTGCCATGGCAACGTAATTTGCAAACAAAGATGCCATATTTCTCATCATGAAACGCTGACAGAACTCTTCTCACTCTCTAGCTGCCACGGTGAGGTCACATGACCTGGAGTCAAGAGGTCTGAACAAAACTCAGTATGTCACTGAACAAACTCTTTCTACCACCACATTGTTTAAAATACACATATGTATCAAAATGTAGGCATTCTTGTCATCTAGCCATCAGTATTTCTGGTGTGGCTGTGGGTTATGGCTAAATCAGCCATTTTTAGAGATATTAAGCTGAAGTTTGGTGTGGTGGTAGCTGAGTGTGAACCCCCCAACACATAGTACAGTCAAATCAAAAATTTAAAATTGTCCCTGTTAGTTAAAGACATTTTATTTCTTGTGCGTGGAGCTTTCTCGATTGGGGGTGTGGGGTGGGGGACTGGCGAGTGTGGAGTTCTGGGCTTTTAAACTGCAGCTGTAGCTCCATTATGTAAGCTAGGTTTTCATCCTGCAGAAACTCGTTCCTCTAACAATGGTGAGTTATTAACTCTTTGTTTGCCCTGTTTATGCTTGTTTATATTTTATTTTACTGAAAGTACAATTCATAGCCTTGTGGGCTTGCGTTCATGTTTGAATGCGTTTCCTCGTTCCAGATCATGATATTCCCTGAGGGGACGTGCACCAACAGGACAAGTCTCATCCTCTTCAAGGCCGGTATGTGCTCGGTTCTTTTCACCATCACAATATCAGATAACCCGCTTCCTCGTTTGGTCCATGTCCTAAACCTCTGAGTGACCACGTGGAGTCCTGAAGGAAACCATAACAAAACCTTTTACTGTTTTTGTAGTTCAGTACATTTTAGATCCTATATCTGTGAATGACATTCTTCATTAGCTGTTTATACATGGAAGTACTTTTACATGTTCTACATAGTTTTTTATCCACTTATCGTCACAATCTTAGTTTGCTCAGTACTTTGGTATGCAGGTAGATCAAGTTCTAGCAAACCCATAGCAGGCCAATTAGCTAACTAACAACCGTTTGTATTCAAAGATCGGAAAACTGATTTACATTCAACACAATTGATGTTTGTCATTTGGCCTCTGTGCTTCCTGAGATTCTTGACAATCTTGTTCTTTTACCACAAATTATTGGAGCTGTTTATTTCTGCACAAAAGTAGGTTGATGAATTTTTTTTTTTTAACACTGTTACTGTTAGCAGCATGGTCCTGTTAGCGTCATGGTTCTGTTAGCAGCATGGTTCTGTTAGCAGCATGGTACTGTCAACATGTGGCTCTGTTAGCAGCATGGTCCTGTTAGCGTCATGGTTCTGTTAGCAGCATGGTTCTGTTAGCAGCATGGTACTGTCAACATGTGGCTCTGTCAGCAGTGTGGTTCTGTTAGCAGCGTTGTCCCATCAGCAGCATGGTACTGCTAGCGGCGTGGTTCTGTGGTTCAATTAAACTTCAGACCAATCTCAAAACTTCTCTTTCTTTCTAAAATCCTGGAGAAAACAGTTTTCATTCAACTAAACAAGTTTTTGAATGAGAATGGAATTTTTGAGATCTTCCAGTCTAGTTTAAAACATTTACACAGCACCGAAGCAGCATTAGTGAGGGTTTGTAACGACATTCTGTTAGCAAATGATTCTGGCCAGTTTGTGATACTTGTACTTCTGGATCTTACCGCTGCTTTTGATATTGTTGACCACAGAATCCTTATATTGCTGTTAGGATAGTGGGTTGGGCTTACAGGTGCAGCACTATAATGGTTCTGTTCCTATCTGAGTAACTGGAGATTTTGTGTTAAGGTTGGTAATGGTGTATCTGTTTCAGTGCCTCTTTCCTGCGGGGTCCCGCAGGGGTCAATTCTTGGACCCCTTCTGTTTGCACTGTATCTGCTCCCTTTGTGGTCTGTTCTGAGGAAGCATGGTTTTTCTTTTCACTGCTATGCTGATGACTGTCAGATTGTTTTGCCCTTAAAACCTATAAGTTCTTGCTCCATTCACCCTGTGTTAAAATGTCTTGATGACTTTAAGCATGGATGACTTCAAATCTTTTTAAGTTTTAATGATCAGAAGACTGAAGTCATTGTGTCCCTAGCTCTACTTCTGCCTCTGTTCCTGTAAACCTTCACTCTCTTTAGCCACATATTAAGCAGTCCGTTTTTCTTGTCATGTTTATGGTCGTTTTCACACCTGATAGTCCGGTACACTCGGTTCGGTTCGGGACCAATATTCATGACCTTTTGTTTACATTTGAGCTGGTGAGTTTGCATTCACACTGCACTGTGCAGTCGAGTCAACCTGTTGAACCAACCTGTTCCCCCGCTCGCCTGTGGGGGCGCTGCACGAAGAGCTACTGAAAGAAACGACACAAAAACCTCTGAAGACACGTCTTCTTCTTCTTCTGTAAATAAAAATAAAAACGAAGTGGCATCAAGTTTTAGCAGTTTTAGGAGTTATATTTTGTCATTTTTCAAAAATGGACTCAGCATGAGCAGAAGATGAGACAGAAGACCATGGAGAATATTGTTTTTCCACACAAGGCAGCTGACGGCTCCATATAAGGTCAGAGAAATGTGTGTTTGTTTACCCTGCGGAGCGGGGCTCGGTCTGTTTATATTCACACTGTACTCGAACCGCACTGGAGTTCTCTTCTACCGGACCGAGACCTAGGTTTTAGCCCGGGCCAGAGTTCGATGGCGCGTTCACACCTCCCCAAACGAACCGGACTTTCTAGGAAAACGAGCTAGAGTTCGATTAAAGCGGACTAAACAGGGCTGGTGTGAATGCACCCTTTAATTAATTTTCGGTACTCATTGCTTTTATTTAATTATTTTTCCATTAAATTACTCCCATTGATTTTTTTTTAATTTTATTATTAAGCACTTTGATAACAGCTGCTGTTTAAATATGTGTTATAAGTAAAGTTGACTTGACTTCTGTTAGCAACATGATGATAGTAACGACCGCAGCAATGGACAATGACTGCCCTCCAGAACCGGGTCTGGCAGACTCAGAACATTCAAAGTTCCCCGCGGAACTGAACTGTTCTGTAGAGTTTGTCTGTGCAGGCAGATTGAGGATCATGGAGACAGCCACCATGACAGGCCGGAGCCTGTGCCCGAGGTGGGAAAGTGACCGGAGAGTGGGGTTCTGGTGGAACAAACTGAGCTGCAGATGGACCGCGTAGGTCTCAGAAAATTCCCAGTGGAGCGGCTCGGAGAGCGGTGTGTCATATTGAACCATCCTGCCAAACCCGCGCACCGTGCCACCCTCTGCAGCCCGTCTCTTTTAGTGTTGAGATAGATCAGTGCAAGCAACAAAACAAGCGAGGTGTGAGGAAGCACCAGTAACAGCTACACACGGTGCAAAAGTTTTTGTTCATTTCGTTTTGCTTTTTCAGGATTTTTAAATTTTTTTACTTTCGACTTCTACTATTATTTCCGGACCTTTTACTGGAAATTGACAACAAATTGCGCGAGGTGTAAATAAAAAAATAATTAAAGAAAGAAAACGGGTAAGGGATAAAAAATACATCAAAGACAAAATGACTGTTTACAGCACGTGAACACTTTTTTATATCACGCTGATAAGAAACAAAAAATCCAGCAAAGTTCTGAGACAGAATGAAAAATGCTTCACCCTCTGTTGGTCATAAGTCTTGAGCTGACAACTCTTTACTTGGTGCTAAAATACTTTGTTTTTTTATTTTCAGACTGTTATTTTTGGTATTTGTTAAATCTGCTCCACTCTGGACTTTATAAAAACGGAGACTTCCCCTCGTGGGTGGTCAAACAGAATTTCTTTTAAACGTTTTCCAAAGTGGAGATGTTTTCAAACTCCCCACTTCTTTAAGCTCTACTTCTCTTCAGTAATACCTAAATCTGATGTTCATGTCACGTTTCTATTTTTTAACCAATTTTTATTTTCAACTAAGGAAACCAGACACAGTTTGACAATTTAAATCAAAGGGAAACTTTATTTTGATAGGACTTCTGGTGATTTCCAGTTCGTCCTGTCTTTAATGGCTTTGTATTAAATTAAATGTTTGTGCCCAGACCTGCAGATAATTATGAATGAATGTGTCTGCTGCTGCCAAATCCTTGTGCAGATGCCAGATCACGTTAATATTGAAACATTGCATTAGATTGACCCTGCAGGCTGGGAGGTTTAGTGCCCTTGAAACTGCAGTACACAAAACGGTTGAACCCATTTCTTGTTTGGACTCACACACCATGTGTGTGAGTGATGTCAGCTCCGTTGTCCAGTGGCAGCTTTTTCTTAATCCCATTTCTTCCAGTCTGTAAATTTGATGTTCCCAGTAAGCCCCATAAGTCTGTCCTGCTTTCATTGTGTGTGTTTGTCTTTATGTGTGCGTGTGTTACGTTTCTGCTGTGTGTTGCCAGTCCTCTCTGGACATGCCTGCTCTCGTTATGTCTGCTCCCTGTTTGTTTCTGTGTTGATGTGCTTCTGCCACCTGCGCACAAACACACTCTTTAGATACAGACTGAAAGGCATCACCCTATTATTATCCACCTGAACAGGGTTTTGCTCTTCCTTCAACTTTAATGCGGCTCGAACTGCAACGTGTACCCCCACAAATGTTATATCAAAATGACCAGCTTGGCACTGTGATGTATGCTATTACTTCTATTGGCATTTTGAGTTACCATGGAAACGTAATTTGCAGTCAAAGATGTCATTTTTCTCATCAAAAAACACTGATAGAAGTCGTCTCACTCTCCAGCTGCCACAGTTAGGTCACATGACCTGGAGTGAAGTGGTCTCCGAACAAAACTCATTATGTCATCGAACAAACTCTTCCTACCACCTAGGGCTGGACAATAATTCAATATCGATATATCTCGCGATATACTTTTATTCAATAACAGTGATATGAGTTTTAAGCACATTTTCAATATTTCAATTGGATTACAGCGTTTCACTGACACATTTCTTGTTCTGCTCGGGTTGAAGCAGCCCCTTCAGTTTCAACACACAAATTAAAAGATGCGACACAACTACGTCAGTTCGTGGTGACGTAGATGTTACGCAGAGCTCAAGTCCAGAAGGCGTTAGCAGTAGCAGGCTAGGCTAGGCTAATCTCCAACGCGCGTTAAGTCTTCGCTTCAAAATGAGTTCCCATGACCGTCAGAATGTGACTGAACAAGTTTCACAAATGAAGAGAAAGCAGATGACATAACTGATGAGAGAAGAAAGACTAATTCGGCGATGTGGAGGTGGTTCGGCTAGCTAAGATCTGATAAACTGCAGGTTTCAGTCAGTGTGCTGCAAAATGTGACAGTCGTTCCAACTAGCGGTGGGAACACATCGAACTTGTTCCACTTGATAGAAGATGCTGAGAGTCAGAAGATGAAGCACAATAAAAGTTTGAGGCAACGTGTCCCTGAAACATCACCCCCAGCTGTAACAAGAGAAACATGCAGCAAACGTCTGGTTATCTTGTTGTTTCAAGTTAAAACTATTAATATTGACCAAGTTGAGAGTTTTATGTTTATTTGACGGTGATTTCAAAATTTTTTGAAGGCTAAATACAAATAAAAGGTGAACATTAATTTATTTGTACAGTTTGTACAGTTTTTCTGAGGCTTTTATATTGTTTATATCAATATCGAATTATATCGTTATCGACCGAAATTAAGAAATACATTGTGATAAAAGTTTTGGCCGTATCGTCCAGCCCTA